CACTTGAATCTGTTGCTTGCAGAAACTTCTTCGTCGGCCCGTCAGGTGTCATCACTCGGATCAAGAACTTTTTGCAAGGAAATGTAAGCCTTCGATCCTCCCAAAAAACCTTTATCAAAACTAAACAAAAAATGAACAAAATTGTTGAGAATGCTCTTGTGGGATTAAGATTTGATAAATATGCATCTTAGAGCAAAGTATCGGCGAAATTCTTTGGACGAAAGGTCGACTTCCAAGCGAATGTACCGCTATCGGCTGAAGAGGTTGGGAAGTCGTTCAGTTCGTTTCTACACAAATTACGAACGGATCCGATGACCAGAGTACTATTTGCAATGTACCTGAATGTCGTGTAAGTCACTTGTTGAAATGTTTGGTATTTGCTCGAATACAGGGTCCCATCGTTAACCTTAGAGACGAAGTGTACTGTAACCTCAGTGAATCCTGGTCCTTGCCGGTGAAGTGGAGGGCCCGCATTTGCAGTAGCTCGTCTTTTTCTCCGGCCCAAGAAGCACGGGAACGGGAGCTGGAGGCTAGTGTTACCAGGAGGCCGTCTCCCTACTTCGCTCGTATGCCGCTCGGTCAACTTGTCTGCGCCTTCTCACATCTGTTTGTTCGCTGCCTCTGACTGTACTTTCGCTGCGGGTTATTGGTAATGATGGAGGCGCTGCATAGTGAGGATAGCCTGGGCGAAGTATGGAGACGGCATCCGAGTATTGCACCCTCCAGCTCCGTTCCCGTGCACTTTTGAGTGGAGAAAATCGCACATTACCGCAGCTGCGGATTCAGTGACCTCGGCAAAGACCTCCTTCGGGGGAGATCGCAATGTCTGTCTTCAGTTGCTCTAGTTCACGATTTGCGCAAAGGAGTAGTGTCCATGTTGCAAAAGGAGAGGAGTAACCAGGTGCTCACTGGCTCAACGATGAGCCCAAGCAGTGCTCCGGGTTGTTCGCATGGATGAAGGCCACGTTTAACGCATTTTCTTGAGATTGTTTTACAGTTTTACGCACTTGCGAGCCAGGTGGCACAGGACAGTTCGGCAAAGATGGAGAGGACATTTTGCGTTTTTGGTTGCTCGACTAGTTCCGAATTGCTTATCTTACCCTTGTGAACCTTTGTGAAGCTGGAGCAACATCTCGTCGAGCCACTACGGTAAAACCTTTCAACTCAGGAGAAGGCTCTCTAGATGGGTTCACACGTCGACCAAAGTAACGAAAGTGCAAAATTCCCCCGTCGCCGAGCTGTCCCGGCAGCAGTTTTATATCTATACCTGAAATGTACGAAAATACTGTATAATACTTTGAAAAAGAGGTCTGTCATGAAAAAGCCACCAGCGAAAGCGCTGGGCATCGATCCATTTCCTGTTGGATGCACAACACGTTCGAACTCTCCCTGGTATCGACAAATCAGTGGTTGATCTTTTCAATAAATCACCCGTCTTAGCGTGTTCTAAGGTCACTCATCTGATCCAAGAAAGGAAAAAATGTTGAGTGCTCTAAGCTGAGACAAATTCCCGAGAACATCATGAGAGAAGGGTGAAGTCTCTTATTCTCTCGCTAGCGTCGTACTAGTGCTGTAAAGTCTCTCTATTCCCATCGTACGGCCAAACACTGGAACCTTTTTTGATCACGGTGCCCTTCCTTTATTTTTTGATCACGGTGCCCCAAGTAACTCTGCCGTCCCCGTACATCAGCGTGAAATGTGCCACCTAAGGATGAGCTATGAAAGGATAGAACTATCTCAATTTTATATGTACTTGAATGTCCAATGTGATGTAAAGGGAGTGTTCTAATGGATCGGAGTCCCCAATGTACGACTTTAAATTCACTGTTTCCACCTGAATAGCTTGTTTTTTAAGTGCCACGGTTTATCTTCAGCGTGATTATCGTCGTCTTCCTGGCTCTTCTTGCCAAACACACTCAAATATCGCTGCAAGCAATGCGAATGTCTCGTGAGAAGAAAAGGCTGCCAAGCCCTTCGGCAACAAGAGCTAGAATTCTTCGGAATGGCAAAAAGACACCAATCACGTCCGAACAACGCCAAAAGACGCCACAGAAGCCAAGCCCTCCTGAAAATGGTGGGTTCGTGACCTCCAACATTATTTTCCGCTTCGAAATAATTTTTTAATTTCCACATCTTTCATGACTTTGATAGGAATCAGTACCAATGTCATCTACATGAAGCTTTCAAATGCTTGCCATTGGACAATCTAACAGTTTCAGCTCGGGCAGGATCAGAGATCGAGATGAGTGTTGACGATGGTGAGGCATCTGATTGCTCTGCAACGGCGAATCCTTCCCAACCGAATGTTGCAAAACAGGAAATAAGATTTGAAATGTTAGTTCATTACTTTCACTGTCAAATTCGATTTTACTCAACCGTGATAGTCGAAATTTTTAAGGGAGCCACCAAAGCGGAGATTGCTTAACGACCTCACTGGCCTTAGTACATTGCTGTCAGAGAGTGAGTCAGATTTTCGTAAAAATCGTACACCTTACCCATCCCTCAATAATAATGAGGAGGTTACTTGAAGGTTTCTTGTCACAGTCCGGCGGTCAAGAACATCAATAGCTCAGCGTGGATATGTGACAAGACAACCGTAAGATGCCGCGCCGGTGGGCGTGGCGAGTGTCGCCGCGCCTGACGGACGGGTTGTCTCTTCTGGTCGTTTGTATTTAGGTGTTAAAAGAATGGGAAATAGGGATATTTTGTATTTGCTTGAATTCATATGGGTTTCGATGCTTCAAGCAACAAACTAATGCACCTCGAAAAGTTGCCGCACATGCCCGATACGCCGCGCGCGACGGCGCGACAAATCGCGATTGGTTTCCTCTACGACCCCCTTCCAACACAGCAGCCAATGATACGGCCCACTTCAATTTACATGTAAATCTTAACCTATTCCCCCCACCTTTCCTTAATAGAGGTTTATCAGTCAAACTTATCAGCTTGATTAGAGGAGGGAGCTTTTTGGAGAAAAAGGATTCGAAAAAAAATACTTTTCGTTCTGGAGATGCGCCATGCATTTTCTTTACATTCAAGAGCGTACTAGCTTTATAATGAAAGTGGCATTCCGCTTGCGACAATGAAGAAATGGAAAGCTTGATTGGTCTGTAGTTACGGCTGTACGTTACCACGGTTTGTTCTAGGGTAGTGACGGCTATATTGTAGAACTGCTTTGTGCAGAACCCTGATGCCGGATTCCCCCCCCCCCCCACAACATCCTAACAAGCGAAATAAAATGGTCTCGGGGCAATGTGAGCCCCAAGCTATGGTGCCAATCTTTCGTTCTTTTCACCGGTAACTTACAAAACATAGGGCGGTGCGCGCGAAGCCACAAGGCTGACCTTTACTCATGTGGCACGCACGGCCGACATCCAACCACTGGTACCAAAACCACCTCTTTATCCACGCTCCCACCAGAATCAGGCGTGCCTTGCAGATCGAGGGGTAACGCGCAATAGCGCCTTGGGAGGGGCGAGGGTCGTAGTCGGTCCGACAGAAATTTTTCCGATTTTTGATCCCCATTTACAGGAGCACTTTATAACATCTCACCCGCTTGATGAATGTTGGAGTCATATCTGAGAAGGAAAAAAAAGGGGTGGACCAAATTTGAGGAGGAAATGGACCTCAGTACTTGAGAGTAAGCCACCCGATCATCCCGTTTCCCAAGAATGGTCGTAGATTACCCAGCTCTTCAGAACGTCTGGTCACGCTAAAATTGCTGCTAGTAGTTATAAAACATTAAGCATTTCTGTCCAGTGCTCTGAATGTTAAATCGTAGTTATAAAATGCCTAGGTTTTATTTTGAAACTTTAGGCTCCACCCAGCTTTCGGACCCCGATACTGGTCCTCGCATGCCTAGAGTGTCAACTCCGTTCGTATCTGGAAGGTATGCTTCGATTTCGTATAGTCTCACGGACCAATACAATTTTATCTAGCAGTAATCGCCTTCTTTGAAGCCTGTAAAATCGAAGCCTATCACGTCAAGCAAGTGATAAGTGGAAGATAAGGGGTGGTAAGTAAAATGAGGTCCTATCTGAATAATAAGAGGGATGATATAGAGTTACGTGAAGTGACGTCAGGCGCTGTTTGTCGACGGGGGGCATTTTGTACTACCATTGCTTCCCTAGTTCCGGTTTACAAATCTCACCCTGGTAAAACTTGTGAACCCTTGTGAAGCTGGAGCAAGATCGTCTAGCCACCATCCTAAAACGTC